GGGGGGCAGAGACCCCTGCCCAGGGCTCTCCTGGGATGTCTTCTTCCCTTCCTTACCCCTTTCTTTCTTTCTTTCTTTCTTTCTTTCTTTCTTTCTTTCTTTCTTTCTTTCTTTCTTTCTTTCTTTCCTTCCTTCCTTCCTTTATTTCTCTTTCTTTTTCTTTCCTTTTCTCTTTCTTTTTTCTTTCTTTCCTTTCCTTCCTTTTCCATTTCTTTCTTTCTTTCTTTCTTTCTTTCTTTCTTTCTTTCTTTCTTTCTTTCTTTCTTTCTTTTTCTTCCCTTCCTTCCTTCATTTCTCTTTCTTTTTCTCTCTTTTTTCTTTCTTTCCTTTCCTTCCTTTTCCGTCTTTCTTTTTTTCTTTTCTTTCCTTTCCTTCTTTTTCTCCTTTTCTTTCCTTTCTTTCCTTTTCGTTAATTTCCTTCCTTCCTTTTCTTTCTTTCTTGTCTCTTTGCCTCTCTCACACACTTTCTCCTTTTTTTTCTCCCCTCCTCCCTTATTTTCTTTCTTTTTTATACTTACTTTCTTTCCTTCCTTCCTCCCTGCCTCTCCTTCTTTCTCTTTCTCTCTCCCCTTCCTTCCCATCCTCCTCTTTCTTTCTTTCTTTCCCTTCCTTTTCTTTTTCTTTCTTTCCATTCTGTTTCTTTTTCTTTCTTTCATTCATTTTCTTTCTTTCCTTCCTTCTTTCCTTCCTTTTCTTTCTTTCTTTTTTTCTGTCTCTTTTGTCTCTCTCACTTTCTCCTTTGTCTCTCCCCTCCTTCTCTTTCTTTCTTTCCTTCCTTCCTCCCTCTCCTTCTTTCTCTCTCCCCTTCCTTCCCTTCCTCCTCTTCCTTTCTTTCTCTTTCTTTTTCCCTCTTCCTTCCTCTCTCTCTCTCTCTCTCTCTCTCTCTCTCTCTTAAATTTATAGGCCGATCTAAGGGAGACAATCATTAAACTGAGCTCTGCTCTACTTTACAACCTTCCTTGCCACGGTTGTTAAGTGAATCCCTGCAAAGTTAGTCAAACAGTCGTTAAGTGAATCTGGCTTTCTCCCATTGGACTTTGCTGGATAGAAGGTCGCAAAAGTTGGAACCCCTGGGAAGCTGCCACCGTCATAAATATGAGTCAGTTGCCAAGGGTAACTGAATTTTGATCGCGTTGACCACGGGGGAGGCTGCGGCCGTCGTTAAGCATGAAAAACTGATCCTTTTTTTCCAGTGCCGTTGCAACTTCAAAACGGTCACTAAACGAACGGTTATAAGTTGAGGATTCCCTGTATTCCCATCCTACACGTGCCAGAGTATCACGTGTTGCTTTTATCTATTTTTACGACGGTTGTCCACGGAATCTCTGCCACGTGCTAAATAAAATATATTTCCTTCTAGGGTAACGTGAGTTTTAACTGAGCCGGTTTAAATTTTTCCATCTTGGGGCCAAGGCTCCCTCGGATGCATCTGACAGGCTGCGGGGTGTGTGTGTGTGTGTGTGTGTGTGTGTGTGTGTGTTGTATTTGTGCTGCACTGAGCTTATATTTCTGTTTTTGGGGAGGGGGGGTACTTATGCTGCACGTGGAACCCATCCTGGCATGTGCCAAGAGGCAGGGAAGAGCAGTGCCGTTCCTCCTCTCCCTCCTCCTTCTCTTTGCGATCCACCCTCCCTGCAGCACTGATGGGGTTCCCTAGTTGGGTGAAGAAACGTCTGCAAGAAAACCACCAAACTCAAGAGAGCAACAAGGACTCCACAGAAAAGAGAAAACCCAGATAAACGGGGGTTAACGCCAGACAAGTAATCGTGCCGAAAACAACACCCTCCAAAAGGAACTGCCCTTTATGTCAGATCCATATATCTGCCATTCCTCAACAGAAGAAGAAGGGATGAAAGGGAAGTTGGTACCAGGGATCCTTTTGGATGTAACCTGAATCTCTTAAATCTTATATTGAAACTGTATAACTGCACGTGATATACAACTGGAGGACTGGAGCCCGATGTCTAGAAACTTGTCACCTCTCGGAGAGATAGCAAGAGGAGAAGGGACCATAAAAATTCCAGCTCCGGACAAAAGATATAAGTATAATGACTTTGAAATAAGATGAAATAAATAAAATATAATTAAGAGAGTGAAAAGATGGGAGAAGTTATATAGAAAATACAAAATGGTTAATAAGATATGAAGGGTATATAAGGTGGGCATGAATTTGATTTAGGTCTGTCAAAAAAGATGTAACCTGGGGCCAAGTCACTTTTCAAAAGAAGTTTTATGTTTTGTGTGTGGATTGTTTATGTTTGATTGTAAATTAATAAAATCTTGGAGAAATGAAATCAAAGGGAGAGAAATTGGGAAAAGACATGTATTAATGATAACTAAGGAGGTTTTTTTTCCCCCAATGTTTTGCTTTATTTTGTGTGCTTATTGACTGATTGAGAATTACTAAAACCTTGATAGAAAGAAATATAATTGAATAAAAGTGAAGGGAGAAATAATGAGAAATTTGGAAAAGATACACATGTGTAAATGGAAATGGGATTAATGTGGAACTATGTTTTAAAAAAAGAATGCTTTATTTGCCTTGTTAAAATTTATAAGTAATTCTCAGAAAGGAGGTTTTATACTTTTATGTGTTATGTTTTGTTTGTCTTCAAAAATCAATAAAACTTGTTCTTAAAAAAAAATAAAAAATAAAAATTCCAGCTCTGGAAGATACTCCCTGGAAAACTTTTCTAAAATAAGTTCCCAGAAAAGCGGGAGAATAACCATGTTGGTTCTTTATTTGACTAAATCCACATCAGAACAAGGGGAGGGGTTCTAACTCCCTTTATCTATTCCTGTAACGCCTGGAAGCATCTTAGATTCTGCTTTGACTGGTACCGGAACCGCTTCCTTTCCATACAGAATTCCTTTTGAAGTACCTAACTTTGAGAAGGTCATTGTTTTTCGGTTGAAGGGGAAAAGTCCGGTGCTTACACAAGGGGAGAAAAACGCGCTCTCCCGCCAATACTGCCAGAGTAAGCCCCTAATACAGGGGTCCCCAACCACCGGGCCACGGACCTGTCCCGGTCCGTGGAACATTTCCTACCGGGCCGCTGGTTTGCTGGGCGCCGCCATCTTGTTTGACGAGAAAGTGCTTCTGGGTGAGCTTTTCTGGTTGGAAAGCGGCGTTTGGGTCCTGGAGGAATCCTCGCGCCTTAGTTTCATCGAAGGGGGGGGGGGCGGCTTCGAACGAAACTAAGGCGCGAGGATTCTTTCAGCACGCATGGCAAGGCGAGCCGAGCGACCGTCCCGAAGCCGTCGCGAAGCCCATCGACACAGGTACAAAGGAGGACTTGAAGGTGGCGGGGAGAAGCGGGGGACGGCTGGCTGGCCGGTCGCTCGGCTCGCCTTGCCTTGTCATGCGTGCTGATGCCGGTACCGGGCCGCGGATCATTTTGTGATGCCGGTACCGGGCCATGGCACAAAAAAGGTTGGGGACCACTGCCCTAATACATAAACCGAGAGCCAACTCCTCCACCCTTCTATCACTGATGATGTTCCCTAGTTGGGTCATGAAATGCCTGCAAGAAAACCGCCAAGCTCAGAGCGCACCAAGGACCCAACTATATTCCATCCCCCCCCCCCCAGCCTGGATCCTGACACCCACCACCACCGCCTCCTCCTCCTCCTCCTCCTCACCGGCGCTGCTTCTTCTCCAGCTCGTGGTTGCGGCCCTGTTGTCCTTCCAGGTGCAGCTTAGTGTCCTGCAGCTCGGCCGTCAGGCGCTGGCATTTCTTCTTCAGGGTCTGCAGGGCCCGCTGGGTCTCCTCGCTGTCAGCCTGCAAGTCGGTCAGCTGCCAAGGGAAAGGGCACACTCAGCAGACGGCAGACCCTGTCCCCGGGCCCGGAGCATCCCCCCCGCCCCGAGACCACCAGAAGATGCTCCCAGGGCGCTTCCACCACACTCCTATACAGGGGGGCGTGAGAGTCTACTGGTTCGGGCCGGTTTACACGACCTGGTTGTTCCAGTGTGATCATCTGGCCCCACCCATCCGCCCGACTCTTTTCTTTTATTTTCTTTTATTTCCTTGTTTGGAGTCTGCCTGACACCTGTGGCACGTGCGCCATAGGTTCGCCATCACGGCTCTAATTAAAATCATGATTCTCGAGCCAAACTTCAAAAAACTTCAAACTTCCTTGTTTGGAACGATTGCGCACAGCAATCGTTCTAATTCTGTGGCGGCGAAACTTTGGGGGCTCCCGTGCCAAAAATTGTGCACGTGCCAGCACCAGAAGGCAATGCACATGCCGGCCCCCGTCACAAGCCCCCTGCACATGTATGCGCAATCCACCCTGGCCCTCTCTCCCCGCCCCAGACCGCCCCATTACCTGCAATGCGCCTCCCAGCTGATTTTCGGCCTGTTTGAGGCCTTTTTCGGCCTCCTAGAGGCTTGAGGAAAAGCCTTTGCAGGTTGGAAAAATCGGCCCGTTTCGTCCCATCCGGTATTTCCGGAAATCCACGAAGTGACGAAACAGGCCCATTTTTCGGCCCGCAAAGGCTGCAGAGGTTTTCCTCGAGCCTCTGGAAGGCTGAAAATGGCCTCAAAACGGGCTGGAAATCAGCTAGGAGGCGGACGCATGCGCAGTGAAATAAATTTGCCTGCAGCTAACGTGCTGGTGCAAATGGGTCTGCGTGCCACCTGTGGCACCTGTGCCATAGGTTCGCCATCACGGCTCTACTTACAATCACGATCCTCGAGCCAAACTTCAAAAAACTTCGAAGGGTTCGTTGGAGGCGACATCCTGGCCCTGCCCTATATGAAAACATTCCCGGTCCCCCTGTGACCTTCTTTTCCCGCCCTCTTTCCCGGGTGTGTCATAAACCAGATTCTCCAACTTTGCACCTTTACGGGCTGGGTGTCCTCAATCACGTTCTCCAATAAAATATATCCGCGGGAAAAAAACTCTGGTAGTTTTAGTTACAATCTTTTAAAGAGAAGAGTTGGAATGGACTTCCGCTTCCAAAATGGCTGCGCTGCTCTTCCAGGTTTCCTTCCCTTCCTGCACCCCCTTTTTTTTAATGGCAACTACTAAAACACGCCAAGGAATGTTTGATGAGTTGACAATTTTACTCACTGGGGATACGAAGCAGAAGGTGAGTGTTATTATAGCTAAAAATGGTATTTTCTAAATGCTGCGCGCGCTCACCGAGCCGGTAGTTACGCTGGTTGAATCGCCCCACTGCTCCCGCCACGCCCAGGTAGAAAACCCCACGGGGACAATAGATCCCAAAGGAAGACCCCCCCCCCCCCCCTGCTTACCCGTCGCTCCAGCTGCCGCTTGTTCTGCTGTTCCACCTCCAGTTTGTCCTCAAACTCCTGGTGCAGCCGCTTTTTGGTGAAGTCGATCTCCCGTGTTGCCCGCTCGTACTTCAGCCGCCACTCCCCCCCTGGGGGCAACAGAAAGCCGGTGGTCAGAGCGTCTTGGCATCACCCCCTCCCCTCCCCCAAGCCAGTCTCCTCCCCCCCAAAGTCAGTCTTGTAGGCAAGCTATGCTGGCTGGGGGATTCTGGGAGTTGGATTCCTCACCTCTTAAAGCCTTTTGGCTGGGGGATTCTGGGAGTGGAAGACCTCCCCTCTTAAAGCAGGCTGGCTGGGGGATTCTGGGAGTGGAAGCCCCCCCCTTAAAACATCCTGGCTGGGGGATTCTGGGAGTGGAAGTCCGCCCCTCTTAAAGCAGGCTGGCTGGGGGATTCTGGGAGTGGAAGTCCTCCCCTCTTAAAGCATCCTGGCTGGGGGATTCTGGGAGTGGAAGCCCA